TTTTTTTGACACGTCGCAAAAGGTCGACACTCGTTCCTGTAAAGTTGGGACCAGATTTGGTACAGGTAAAAAAGCAATATCCTTGTTTGAAAAATGGGTCCGGATAACGGAAAAGTACCGAATATTTCGCTTTTTTATACTTTATCAAACTGTATCTTTCTTAAAACTGACAACGATACCTAATCTTCAATTGGGTTAGTGGAACTACAAAAATAAAGTTCAGGAGAGATTTTGAGCGTTCAACATTCGCTAGCTTCTGTATTAGCATCGGTTTTTGGGGATTTGGCGGAGCTTCCTAAGAAAAATCTGTATTAAGGCATACTTGTACTTTGTCAAAGAAATGTTCCAAAAATTTGGTTGATTTTTCATCATCTTCATCATCTTTTCGCGCACATTTGCCTTCAAAAAGAATTCATAGCATTTTTAGACCGCTCGTGCGATGAGGCTATGGTTCTTCCTTCGCTTTGATACGCCAAATTATGACGAAATGGCGAAAGAATGGGAAGAAGCAGCAACTAGACTTGTACGAAGTAAATATGACAGCAACCCACTGATTAAGGTGAGTACAGTTATTTGTAAATGAAGCTAATCAGCGAGTAACTTCGTGCAAAATAGCTAGGCTTTAAGCCTGTGTATGCACTTCTAAGGTCTAGCCGCTCGATGAAACTCTTTTCTGATATAAAATTTGTCCCTTTCCATTTAGTGCCACATCAAGCATTCCCGGATACTTGATCAAGGACTGACTAACAACGCAAATCGACTGAAGCCTTACTTTGCCGTGACGGTGATCGTGCTAATCGCGTTCACTTCATTCTACTCCATGAAATGGAACATTAGAAAAAAGAATGACCAATGGCTTGGTGAGTTCAAAGGAGCTCATTTTTCAAGCCAGCATTAATACCATGCATTTTAGTCGGAATAGATTGGCTGCGCTCAAAGCCAATTCTTGCTCTTGGTGGAGTCCTATCGTCAGGTCTTGCTATTATGAGGTAAAGTTCCATATTGGGATGATCGCCACTAGAATATAAATAAAATCTCTTATTTCAGCGGTATCGGTCTCAACCTCTGGTGCGGAATGTTCTTCGCTGAAATAACCCTTGTTGCTCCATTTTTAGTGCTTTGTGAGAAATTCTAGACTATTCTTTTTCCAGTGTCTCTAAGCTGATCAAATTCTTATTCTTCTAGCAATAGGAGTTGATGATATGTTTATTGCTGTCGCTGCTTGGCACAATACCGAATTGAAATACCCAGGTAGTATAATCTGGTAAATTTACCATCTTCCCAGAAAGTTTGTTTTTTCAGGCAACACCCATGCGGTGCTAAAGAAGAGAATGGTTGAAGCTCTGAGTGAATGCTCAGTGGCCATTT